TCCAGCTGGTGCCACCAAGCTGCTGGAGGGCAGCACGTGGGGCAGGCACCGAAGCATCTTTGCAGCAGCTGCCTGGGCCAACACCGCTGGCACAGAACCACAGCTAATAAATCCACATGGACCAAATCTGTTCCCATTTTGCAGTGACACCAGGCTGCCTCTGCAGTGGACTCCCCAGGTGCTCCATGTTTCTCCATGATACGACTGCAGAGACATCTATTATCCTGCACGAGAGAGAGCTACAGCAGCACTACCTTGCCACAGCCATTTCTCCTACTAACCAGGGAGAGTCTGGAAAGACACTGTATCATAATGGGAAATGCCAGCACTAGAAACTGGTGTTGTTTGGGGGTGATACTAAGAGATTTCTATTCTCTCACCCTGATTCATGTCTACTACCTAGCAGAGAGAGACCTGATCCAGCTGTTCTGACCTGATAAATCAGACTTGGATTTTGCATTGGCCTCCTTTTCCTGTATTAATTATCAGCAAATATGAAAGAATGGTGCAACAGCTGAGACCTGTTGTTACCAGGCAATATCTGAAGTTCAAACTTGAAACCTTGAACGCTCAAGCTAGTTTTGCTGAGGTACACAGCAAACCAGAGGAATCACCAGAAGGTGCAGTAATACTCCCGCCACAGGTGAACCCTCCTGGGTTGTTGGTCCCTGCTTGGATGCCCTTGTGGGGTCATACTGACTACATACAGGCTGAGCATACACACATGCATATGTACAGATATACATATACTTACATATATGTGTGTATATACATGTGTACATGTGCTAATGCATGCATAAAGCTAGATTGATGCCTTGACTTGTTAGCCCCACACTTTATAAACATCTGCATCAGGGATGCTTGTATTAACTGGAAATCAGATCCCCATACACACAAGGAACAATAAATCCTTAAATACAGTGGAATGACCTCACTGCCGAGCTGGTTTCTTCCCATTTCCCATTCCAGGTAGTGGAATGAGCCCTATTTCTAACCCCAAAGGGGTCTTCCTGAAGACCCAGAAATACTCAAAACTGGTGGTGTTTTCTGCTGCTTTGTTTGCTGTTCTACACGACTTACAAAGGGCCTGTTCCTTCACTAACATGCTGGTCAGTACGTCCAGGTCTCCTGTGTGGCCAGGAAATGCAATTTATGCTGTCTCACCACTGAGGTGAGGGTTTGACCTACACCCCAAAGCCTATTGCTATTTTATCAGCCAGGCTGCTGGTTATCAGCTGTTTTGCTTTCAAGTAGGTCACATAATTTAAAGGGGAAGGGGAGAGCGCCAGGAGACAGGAAATGCAATTTATGCTGTCTCACCACTGGGTTTGACCTACACCCCAAAGCCTATTGCTATTTTATCAGCCAGGCTGCTGGTTATCAGCTGTTTTGCTTTCAAGTAGGTCACATAATTTAAAGGGGAAGGGGAGAGCTCTCCTCAGGGGACCACTGCCTCTCATATTTTAAAAGGTTTTCTGTTCCCATAGGAAAGGATTAAATAAGATGCAGGAGTGCACGCATGTGTGTGTGCATGCCGGCGGGCAGCCAGGCGTGCCAGCCACCGGCAGCAGCACAGGCACCTCGCAAGGCATGGGAGCAAGGGCACTACTAGGCAGCCAGATTTCCCAACACGAAGAACCTGTCAAGGCTGCTTATTTTCCAGCCTGAGACCTCCACTAGCGATAATTGTTTATTTTGAAAGCGCTCGGGGAACATGAAGCAGCACACTCCTAAACCAGAAATAATCCTGTGCTGGCTCTTCACGATATGTGCTATCATGTTAATATACGACCAGGCAGCAGGGCAGGAAAAATACCTAGGTCTCGGCTGCATAAGGAAGCAAATTGCTGCTGCTATAGCATAATAAGCATGCTCTGTAAGGAAGTTAAATGTATTTATCTTCTCAAAAAAATGGATTAAAAGGTAACTTCATCTGCCTGTAAGCGTTTGCTTGTAAAAAAATCAGCTAAGTTGTAACAAGATCCAGAGGTTGAAATCTTGAATCAGACAACTCCAAGCATGAAAAAGAGTATACATTATTTAGTGGGAAATAATCAGCCCTCAGAATAATATTGCTAGTGTCCTACTGAATTCAGTATCCCTGGAAGTATTTTTAATTGAGATGATTGATTTTTTTTTTTTTCCTAAAAGATCAGCTTTAATTCAAGCAGGAATTAATTCAAGGAAGCCCAAGGTGCTGTGCAGGAGACCAGACTACATTGTCACAACAGCTCCAATCAGCATTATAACCTGTTCATTACTACCTTTACTCTGAAATTTCTAAATCACCTACAACTTTAGATCACCTTCTCCCCAGAGCAGAGCATCCCTGTGAGGCAGGCAGGCAGGCACAGCTATGGCAGAGTAACTCTGCTGGTCAGTTTTTGCACCTAGGCAAGCCTTTATGCAAAGCACTTGTCAGAACCATTGCCATGCTCTAGACAAGCTCTGCCTAAGGGGATTGACCAGCACAACTATCACAGAACTACCTGATTATTCGAGAATAAATCACTTTTATTTTGGAATACACTGTCAACACTGGGGAGTTATATTGGCAGAACTGAGCGCGCTATTCTGGTCAATTCTCCCATGCAGACGTGCCATACATGTGTGATAAGGGTGGAGAATAATCCCCCAGGAGAAGCAATGAACATTTTATTGATTGGGGTATTTCAAACTTGTGCAGGACAAAGCAATCTTCTATGTGCTGAATGAGCAGACAAGATGGAATTGAGGGTTGGGGTTTTTTCCATCTCTAATTTCTGTGTTTAGTTTAGAGAAGACATTTTGAACAACACTAGCAAGTGGTGGGGCGGGGGGAGGGGGGGGAAGATCTATATCTGGCTCTGATTCTGCCAGAGGTGCTATCATACTTGAGACATTAGTGGTAGGAGAGGTCATCTCCTTGAAATTCAAGACAAATGTGTGATGCTGAAGCACACAGGTATGTGTAACAGGCCACGGGGACCTCTAGCACCGACCCAGAGCCCCACACCCAGCCTGTTCCCTTTCTTTTTCTTAGCCGACCAACGCTGTTTACGGGACAAGCGCTGGGCCAGGTGCTGGAAGGAGGTGGATGGGAAGGGACGCAGGATGGGAAGTTTGCAATGAGTAAGTGCTAGCTGCACTTCTAGCAGCAGGATCAAAGTGTGGCTGAGCTAGAGGGGACGCCGGTCGATCATTTCCAGCATATCGATAGCAGCTTTCCCTGCCTTGATGCCAGCCCCTCTGCAGAGTCATGATCTCTGCTGTTTCCACAGCAGGAACTGCAGGCCTGCGTCCGCCTGCTCTCACGCCCCGTGTGCGCTGGGGCAAACACCACGCACCGCTGCGGCTGTCCCGGCTGCCTGCGCAGGCAGGCTGAGCGGGGAGGTCAGTGAGGCGAGGAAGCAAAACTCGCTTGGGGTTGCAAGGGCTCTCCCAGGCTGGAAAGGCGCGTGATAGCCCCTCACAAGGGGCAGGGGTGGGAGCTGGTGCTCAGCATGTACCCAGAGCTCTCCATCACCCCGCGGGGCGCTTGGGCAGTCCAGAGCAAACACCCAGGCACCAACTTTTTCTGTCCAGAGGGAACGTGATTCCTACCAGTGCCCAGGTGCTGTTTACAAGGGAAGGGCTATGAGGAAAGGCAACACCTTTTACTAAACCAACTGATGCAGCTGGGGGGGGGGGGGAAATCAAGTGTGATTTCAGAGATTTGAGAAAAGCACATTATGCCTGAAACATTTTCCAGCCACATCAACTGGTCTGATGAAATACGTCATTTCTCTCCCCACAACCCCTGCTACGCTTCTGTCCTTCACAACTGCAAGAGCATGGCTGCTATGAGGGCAATTAACGCTGCTGGCTTTGCCTCCGAAATCCCCTTAATTGTGCCCTCTGCGAATCGCTGGGCCTCAGGGCATTGCAGAGCAGACATTTTGCAGCAGTCTCAGCTGAAATAAGGCGTGGGGGATCGTACTGACCAATGTTTGACACTGAGCTCACTGCTGCCTCCCCCGCCACATGGAATCTGGTATTAATTTTAATTTATTTCGTCCTGTCTAGCAGTTTGAATTCACAACATGCTCGAGTTTGGTATTGAAAAGGCTCCTTTGTTATAAAGCACCATTAAGAGAAGGCGGGACCTTTTGGCATGTGAGTACGGGCAGAAGGGTCTTTTATACCTGGGATGATGATTTAGGACTGCGGGATAACTGCTTTAGCAGGAGAGCGTGTGCAGCTTACCCCAATACCCAGGCTACCTTGCAAGTCGGTAGTTCCTGCATTGCTCCCAGTGTAGCAGGGTGCAGAGTCCAGCGCATCAGTACCCGAGTAGTTAATGATGGCATTGGCAGCGACATTCTCCTGACTTGGTTTCAAAGTTAACGCTGCAGGAAGGGGAACAAGGCAGCCGACACTTCCCTGTGCTGCCCTTAGGAGCTGTTTGCAGGTGTCACCATGTCTACTTCATTCAGGTCAGGTGGGGAAGGTTTTATTTGCCTCCACAAAAGCGTGAACTTTATTTCTGTAAAGAAGGCTCAGGCAGCAGAGCGCAGACCGGCGCTTTGCGGGGGGCTGCGGGGACAATCCGTGCTGGGAAATCACTGAACGCACAGACCCAGCTCCCATGGCAGCACCTCCCCAACGGCGCCTGCAGCAAGCCCTTCCCCGCTGCCCGCACGGGGGTGCATGA